TCATTGATCTGACTTTACTGAGAACCTGCAATGCTCAAAGTTTCTTCCTGAGGTACCTGGAATGCTTATGAGATGAGAGTTGATGCAGAGGACCAGATCTCCAGGCTTTCAGTGATGGCTGAAGAATGTAAATCAGGAAAGCATCCCCTGAAAACTTAAACATGAAACCCCTCTTATAATTTCCTGCTGGGCTTTACCAGCTGCAAACCAACATCTTCTCCTCAAACCCTTGATGCTTCACATCTTTGTACTTTAGAGGACTAAGAAGGTTCAAATCTAACTCAGAATGCTGTGTTCCTGCAAGAGGTCTCCTTGGAGATGCACAGATTGCTCCAGACAACTTCAGTTGGCCCTGAAAGTCAGAAGGGAGTAAGGAAATTTGTGTCTTTCTGCTAATGGTCAGCAGGGCCTCCCAGGAGTGTCTCCCATGGTAAGGAGATGTGGTGGCCCCTAGGGCTCTTCTGGAGCATTGGGCCAGTACCAGGTCAGACACTTCATGGAATCCCAGAGTGGTTTGGGCTGGAAGGGACCTTAAAGCTCACCCAGTCCCACCCTGCCATGGGCAGGGACACCTCCCACTAGCCCAGGTTACTCCAAGCCCCATCCAACCTGGCCTTAAACACTTCCAGGGGTGGGGCAGCCACAGCTTCTCTGGGCAACCTGTGCCAGTGTCCCATCCAGCAATGCTGTGCTGGAGGGAGGTGCTCACCCCACCTTGTGTCTGTTCCCTGACCTTACAGAGCAGCTCCCTTCCCAAATTTCACAACCTGGCACATGGTGTGTAAGGGAATCACTGACTGTATTTTATGAATTCCAGGTGTACTGAGGATGGTTTTATCCATCCTCACCCTCCTTTCTGTATGCAGAGGGGAGATGAGCTGCTGCCTCTACAGATTGCTCAGCCCCAGATTTAGCACGGAAAATTTTTTGGAGTCTTTTAAATAGATGCCCATATCAAAGCAAGCTGTGTGTGCTCTCAGGAGTGCTCTGGCACAAAGGGGAGTCAGAGGTAGGTATCTTTATCCTGTGTTTCTTTTATCCTTCTGCTGCTGTGGAGTGGAACTGGGAACGACTCCCAGGAAGGGTTAAATCAGACTGGAGCTGTATTCCAAGGAGTAGTTAAAAAGCAAACCTTACCTGAAGTGACTGTGCTCTTTGTTCTTCAATTCACAAAGAAAATGTTTGCAGCCTATCAGTCTCGAGCCTGCACACACAAAAGAGGCCATTTTTTTTTGTATTTCTCATGGTTTGAACATTTTCTGTTTCTTTTCTGAGCTATCTGAAGTGATCTTCCTGTATGCAAACCCTGCAGAGCTTTACCCTGGATCTGTGCAGCAGTTGTGCTGTTTTTAAAGAACAAAGGTTCGTTTGACTTCTGAATCCAACAGGATGAGAAGAAATTTGGGATTTGAGTGAATGAATTTAGCTGTCCCAGCAGCCCTGGCACAGGTTGCCCAGAGAAGCTGTGGCTGCCCCATCCCTGGAAGTGTCCAAGGCCAGGTTGGATGGGCTTGGAGTAACCTGGGCTAGTGGAAGGTGTCCCTGCCCATGGCAGGGGGTGGGACTGGATGAGCCTTAAGGTCCCTTCCAACCCAAACCATTCTGGGATTCTGTGTTTGCCTGTGCCCTCTTATTCCTGATTTCAGTTGATCATGAATGGAAGGGCAGCAATTCCTCATTTGTTTTTCCTTCCTAAACAAGAGTTTGAAGTTTTGGTATCAATAACTCTATCTTTGTATAAAAACAGCTTGTGAATATTGTAGAAGAAATAATAATAAAAAAATGAAATATAACGAAAAGTAAACTGATGTTTTATGGGGGAATGATGCTCCATCCTTTTCTCCACCCAGTTTGCCGTGGGTCATGTCCTGCCAGAGAGATTAGGAAGTTTCCCAGGGAGCCAGGTGTTCCAAGGCAGTTCCCACCCTCCTTCCCACCTGAAAAAGGGCTCCAGGGAAGGCTGAAGTCATGTGTCACACAGGTTTTCCTGCAGTGACTTTTATTGCACTACTGAAGCTACTCTTCATTTGCCTCCTTTTTCTTTGATATCTTTAATGGGGTTGAAACAGGCTCATGGAAATCAATGGAATTCAGCAAAAAATCCAATCAGGGATCGGGTATTTCACACGACAGGAATAGAAACGAGGTCATTTCATGTCAGGGTTTTCGGTTTGATGTGTTTCCCTTGGGGACTCCGCTCACTGGAGGGTTGACTTGTGCTCCGAGGAGCAGGGGAAGCTGCTCCCCCATCCACCACACACACATGAGTCCAGCAGCAGTGAAATCCCATGGGATCCACCCTGGTTTGGGCATCGGGGGTTAATCCCTCTATCCACAATTTCCAAAACCGGGGAATTTGTCAGAGCTTCCACCGAGCTGTGTAGGAGAATAAAAAGCATCTGGCTGGAATTAAAGACACAGGACAGTCAGTTCTCCTGCTCCAGGAGCCGATAGCGAGCGGACTCGGGGGCTCATTTCCCTTTGTCACATGGTGTTGCACGTTTAGGGGCACAGAGGGTTTATTTGATGCATTTCTGAAGTAGCTGCTCTTCACCACTGCTGGAAACAAATGAGTGAAGCAGCAGACGAGGATTAACCCGAAGGACAGACTATTAGTCTGTGCTGGTGTGAGGAAACAGAGCAATCACCTCGCGGGGTCATTTGTTTGGCAGGGGTGTGACAGCTCTGCTGGAGGAGGAATGAGAGCTCCTGGGACGGGGTCCTGATTGCTGCCCTGCCGGGAGGGGAGGGGGGAATGGGTTGGTGCCTCAAATGAACGATCTCCTTGTGCTCACATTTGCTTTCTCACCCAGCAGAAGCTCCCAGTGATGGGGGAAGAGATTCCCTGTCCTTGCTCCTTCCCTGGGACTCCGAGCTCAGATCACAGGTGGAAGCAGAGAGGAATTTATTCATTAGGTATTTGCTCAGCGTGTAATTGTGCCAGGATTCTGGTCAGTGTTATCACCTACAGGCAGCTTCACATGTTCAAATGTTCATGGCTCCAGATACACCTGCACACAGAGTGTTCCACAGGATGCCTTTGGAATGTGGCCCGGGATATGCTCTGTTCGTGTTCACCAACCAAATCGAACGGATCCCTATGGATGGCTGCTGATTTACAGCACCTGTACTTTGAAACAGTAAGTGCATTAACAACAGAAAGTCTGGTTATTACCTAATATTGTCTCACAAAGACAACCCTGTCATGAAGAACAGTGGCTAAGAATGTCCTCAGAAAAAAAAAAAAATCTGTAATTTAGATATTAATGAGAGGTACGTCTTATTTGAGTGCTTAGACCCATTTTTCAGACTTAAAAATGAAGATGATGGGTCTAAACCTTTCTTTTCAGGGCTAAATTGTTTTTTTGTCTTTTCTAAAGTGGTCTTTGCAGTATCCAAGGGCTAAGGTGTGCACCAGGGGTGAGACTGAACTGTTCTCAGGTGCCTTTTTCCCCATTGCATTTAAACTCGAGGACCTCTGCATGTCAGAGGAAACAACCATTTTTGTTTGTTGGTTTTTGTTGTTGATGTTGTCATTGCATTTCTGTTTCTCTTGCTCAGTTACAATTCCCAGGATGTGACTGAGTTTTACAAACACACTAAAACATTCAGCAGTGATTGTCTGTCCATCTGACTCCTGCCACTTTATACCTTAATCAGATCAGTATTTCAGTGTCTCTCTGAGGGTAATTATGAGCAATGTATTTCCCTGATTCAGTGTTCAGTCACAGATCATCATAATTTGATTTCAAACCTTCTTGGGCATTACTTTTACTCAGGTTGATCTTTGCCAGAGGAGATCCAGTTCTTCTGCAATGATTTTAGACTGTGAAGCTGAAACACTTGGTGTGATCTCAAGCTCATTTCACTGGTATTCATTCTTTTAATTTTTGCAGGAGCTCCTGGAAGCTGGGATGCTGTCAAGAGCTCGCAGGGTTTGTCCAGCTGCTTTATTTCCCAGTGTGGAGGAGAAGGTAGGAGAAACAAGCCCGCAGGTTGTAAAGAAGGGTTAGAGAAGAACCTGCTCTCTGGCAGCAGCAGTAGTACCAGGCTTCTGTATGCCAGAAAATAGTTAGAATTCTAGGCTGGTTTGGTTAGAAGGAATCTTAAAGATCCTCCAGTTCCACCCCCTGCAGGGACACCTTTCACTAGCCCAGGTTGCTCCAAGCCCTGTCCAACCTGGCCTTGGACACTTCCAGGGATGGGGCAGCCACAGCTTCTCTGGGCAACCTGTGCCAGGGCCTCCCCACCCTCTCAGGGAAGAATTCCTTCCCCATATCTAAGACAGTTCTCCCCTCTTCTAGTTTGAATTCAGGTTATTTCCACTGCAGACAGATGGGTTGTGTTTGAGGGGGCAGCTGTGGGATATCTGAGCCTCCTGCAGCTGCTGGTGCTGTGGCACATTAATGGTCTGGGGAAGGCAGAGAGATTGGGGGGGTCGGACAGGTCAGGGTTCTGGGGCTGTTCGGAGGAGTCGAGGAGGCTGGGGAGGTTTGGGGGATCGAGGGTGTTGGGGGATTGGGGAAGCTTGGGGCTTCTGTGAGGTTTTGGGGAGGTTGGGAAGGTTTTGAGGGTCGTGGAGTCTTCGGGAGGTTGAGGATGTGGGAGTGTTAGTGTGTCGGGGGTGCAGTCGGAGGGGCCGTGTCCAGCCTAGCTGTCTCTCCTATCCCCACGCATGTCCCCTCCGCCTCTTCCCCCCATCCCCCGTGCCCAGGGGCTGCCCCCCGGGCGCTGGGCAAGTCGCCAAAAAGCCCATTTTATTCCCGCACGGCAGCGTCCCCGCTCCCGGCAGGGGCTGTGCCGGGGGCCGGTCCCGGCGCCCCCTCCCTCTCTGCCTTCCCCGGGCGGCCCCGGCGCCCCGCCCTGCCCGCGCCCCCGCCCCGCGCCGGGCGGAGCCTGCCCGCGGCTCCCGGCGCTCGGAGTTCACTCGGCGGCGGTGCCGGAGCGGAGCCGGTGCCGGAGCCGAGCGGAGCCGCTCCTGCCCCTCCGTGCCATGCGGGATGCTCCCGGCCGCCGCCGCCCCCGCCCGCCGCCGCCGCTGCTGTGGCCGCCGCCCGCGGAGCCCCCGCGCCCCCTGGGCCTGGGTGCTGCCCGCGGCCGCGGGGCTGCTCCGGGTGGGCGCTGCCAACGCCGGGGTCCCCCCGCCCCCGCCGCTGCTGCTGCCGCCCCCCGCCCCCGCCGTGCTGCGGGGCTGGCGCGGCCCCGCAGAGCCGCTGCTGCCGCTGCTGCCCGCGACCACCGAGCCGCTGCTCCAGGGGCAGGTAAGGGCGGAGCGGCCCCGCGACCCCCGGGGGGCACAGCCGTCCCGGGTCCGGGTCCGTGCCCGGCGCCAGCCCCGCCACCGGGACCCCCCTTCCCCCATCCCATCCCCGCGGGACGGCGGGGACACTCCGGGCTCGCCATCGCCCTTCCGCGGTTTCGGCATCCTCTTTCCCCGGGTGGTGCTCCCCTGGGGGCTACAACCGCCCCCCCTTCCCCCGCGCTCTGCGCCCCTCGGGCTCGGTCTCCGGTCGCGCCTCCGAGTGTGGGGGATCGCGACGCTTCCAGCGGCTCTAGAAACCTGCGGCAGGGTTTTCCCCGGGAGGAAAAGGGCTGGGAGAGGGGCTGGGGTCCCTTCGGCAGGATTGAGGGTCTCTTCGGCGGGGCTGGGCTCCGGGTCCGCTCCCCGCCGGCTGGGAATGCGCTTCCCGCAGATCCAGCGGGAACGCGAGGGATGCTCCGGCAGCCGGGGCAGCATCGCCGCTCTGCGTTCTTTGAATATTTATAAAGACGAAAGTTTTGAGCCGTGTCACTGGAACCGGTGTGTCGCGCCAGTGCTTCCCCTGATGAATATTTGAATTATTAATTGCTGCCGTGAGCAGCAGCAGCGATAGCGGAGCCTCTCGTCGGGGTGCTCGCCCTGTCACAGTGCAAGTGCCGGAGCTGTGCTGTAGTTTTGCATCGTCTTTATGTTTTTTACCCTATGGAGGTAAAAATAAACCCGCGATGTGAGCGCTGTAGTGTCCGCGCGATTTCGTGTGGTGATTTCCAGCCGTTTCGAGCTCGAGCGTCTCTTGTGGTTCGGGAGAAAATAGTCGGTGCTGGGTCTAATGAAACGGGAGCATCAATTATTCCCCAGCGTGAGACCACTTGACTGACCCGCAGAGGTGGTTTTGCTGTGGGAACCTATCTGCCAAGAGAATTTAAGTTGAGAAAAAATACGTTTCTGCCATTTGCTTTGGTTTTCGAGACTCATTTTCAAAGCACTTTCTAGTGATGTTTTGATTTTGTGTGTGAGGTTCAGACTGATCAGAGCAAACCCACTGCAGCCATTACCAGTGCTGCTGTGCTCCAGGCACAGGTTTGTGGCTTCCTAAAGCAGCTTATGATGCCAGTGCCATGTGCTGCTCACCGTGTGATGCCCAAAGAACCACAGATTCTTGTTGGACTGGAGGAATGTGCTTGAAATTCTCCGCACTCTTCTGTAACATAATTAGGAAATCATGAAAAGCAGAGGTTTACTCGGGACAGAATCCTCTTGTTAACTCTTCCTCCTGTTTTTTTTTCCTCCCTCCAAAGTGGATATTTGGAGCTCATTCCCCGGTCATAGGATTTTCCCCTTCTTCGAGCGTGGAATTTGTCCCTGTTTTCCCCCCCGTGTTCACGACTTCGGTTCCGCCTCACACTGGGAAAAGCTGGATCGATAAAAGGCTGCCCAACTGCAAAGTAAGTCTGATCTTGAATGCTGAAGTGGTTTTAAGGCTGAAGTACATAAAGTATGGAAGCTGAGGAATGTTACTGGTTCAATGGATTGTGATGGAGTGGGAGAGGTCAGTGGTTTGCCAGGAAAACCCTGTGGAGGAGGAATGTCAGGAGGGAGGGCTGATGGAGCAACACTTACACGGCTTTGCTTTTCTGAAGCCTTGAAAAAAATAGAACATCTCCAATATTAGTCTTTAGTCCGTTGAATAGAGTGTCTTATTTTTAAAATGGGATGTGATTATGGGAGTTTTCCCTTTCTTCCTGGTTTTCCCCTGTTCACCCCAGAGTGTTGCCGAGGTCCAGCTCTGGCAGCAGCGGCGTCACCACGAGCGCTGCCATGTCCCTGGTACCTGGTCACTCGTGGTCCTGTGTCCCTCATGCCACCCTCAGTTACCTTCACCTGACCATTTAACATCTGAATGCTGAAAATGCAGCTCTGTGCCTGCATCCCATCCTCTCCCTCACCTCATGTCCCCTGTTTGGAATGTGACCGCAGTCCCTGAGGTGGCGAGGGGTCTCTCGGGACTGGTTGTGGCTGTGTCTGGGACACCGTTGCCTTCAGTGATTCTTTTCTCTTTGTGATGCTGCATCAGCTGATGATTCATGTTAAAAGCCAGTTAATTTTTAAATGGTCACTTGAGCTCAGCCTCAACACTGAGGGAGCAGAAATCCATCTAGTTTGGCGGATTTGTCCCCAGGTGAGACATTACCTGTTGTAATACTGAGTTAAAGACACTTTAATCTCGCTTTTATTGCTGAATTTTGTCTCTCAAGCAGTAACATTTTTCATTTCTCCCTGTTGGACAGATATACTTGAACAATGCATTTGCTCTGGATTCAGCCTGGATACATCCTGAGGAGTCCAGGCTGTTCCAGGGAGCTGAGAAACCTCTGCTGATGACCAACCAAGTAGCTCTGGCTGTAGCCAGGCCAGCTGCTGCCTCCAGGCCACTGCCCACACTGGTGTTGGCACCTCAGCTGGTACCAGGTTAGTAGCATGTAAATAATTAAGTACTTGGCTGTTCATCGGTGTTTTCCCCTTAATGCATCTCTGAGAGAAGCACAAGCTGTTCTCTAGAGTAAAGATCTCCTTCCATTTTACTAAAAAACTCCTGTTTGAGCTGAACCTTGATGGCAAAATGCGTTTCATCCTCCAAAATTACTCTGAAAGGAGGAAAAGACCATGTGTAATTACAGGAGATTGTAACAGGCTGTTCCATAGCCTGTCGTTGACCTCTGGAATGAAGGGACCAGCCACTCCCCAACTGCACAGTTTATTTTTCAAACAAGGAATTGCTGACAACCTGAATGATTCCATGATTCTGTGGCACAGCCCATGCACAGTTCTGTTGGCTGCTCATTTTAAGGGTTCAGTGTGGTCTCTGTAGACCACTGGCAGTAGAGGGGAGGAATTGATCAATCAACTCATTAAGGCTCAGTTATGCACAATGATAGTGTGAAGTAAATTCCATTAATCTGCATAAATCCTAAGAGTTATATACTTATAAATATATACATAGTAGTATAAATATATTTTCTGTATAAATATTCCGTGATTATGTAAGTTACTAAGATTTATACTTGGAAAAGAACAGTTGTACTTGGAAAAGAGCAGGACATGCATTTCAGTAGGGCTGAATCTCTGTTTTGTCACTGCAGCAGTAACATAGCAGTTGTTTCAGAGAAGAGGTTGAGAAGTAAAATGCTACTGATGTTTCAACCCCTAAATATATTCTTAAAATGAGAATAAGAATTAATGGCTTGCTGCCAGTTGTTCCTTCCTCAGACCCAAGGTGATGCCTGTTGGGTTGACACCACAACTCCTCTTTCTGTGGTCTCTGCCCCATAAAGTCCTTTTTATTTTGCAGCTGAGCAGCACATGGGATGTTGTATTTTACCATCACTGTTGAGATTCAGAGCATGCTGGAAGAGATTGTTGCTGTTTGGGCTCATTTGCCAACCTGATTAATTAGCAGTGAATGTTGTTCTACACTGAAACATGTTGAACCACTCGAATGGGTCCATATTTTGGTGTTGTAGCAAAGCCATGTCTGTCAGCTGCCTCCTCATCCTGCCAGGATCTCCAGTGCTCGGCTGGAGGAGTGAAGCTGCTGTGTTATTTGTTTATGCATATTTATTATATTATTTATTTGTATTTATTACCCATAAAAACAGCTGCATGCCCCCAGCATGACGTGGGGAAGCATCAAGCTGTGCTCCCAGGCAGGAGAAAGTGGGGTTTGAGGAAAAGTGTGATGGTGAGGGAGGTGTTCTGAGCAGGGGAGCAACAGCCCCTTCTTTGTTTATGTACGTTTAAAAGATTTCAATACTTTAAAATATTTCACAACAATGTTATTTAAACACGCACAAACATTTTATCACAGAACATAACGCAAGAGCGTACCTGGCAGTGGGTCAGGGGGATGTGCTGGGCAGAACTGGGACATTCCCAGCCTGGTGCCGTGTCTGAGGTCTGGAAGTAGCACAGAGAAGGGAAGGTTTTCTTCTGCCTGGACAAGATATGCAAGCACCAGCCTGTTAGTACAGGAGATCCTCAGGTGCATCCAACTCTTCCTGCAGCAGTGTGTGCAGCATTGTCTGCCTCTTCAGAACTCCCTGAGCCCCACTGGGTGGGAGAAATGCAGGAAGGAGCACAAAGACCCCCAGCCACCTTTCTAAATCATAGAATCCTGGAAGGGTTTGGGTTTGAAGGGACTTTAAAGCCCACCAAGTCCCACCCTCTGCCATGTGCAGGGACACCTTCCACTAGCCCAGGTTGCTCCAAGCCCCGTCCAACCTGGCCTGGGACTCTTCCAGTGATAGGGCAGCCACAGCTTCTCAGGCAACCTGTGCCAGGGCCTCCTCATCCTCTGAGTCAAGAATTCCTTCCCATCTTTCTCAGAATCTCATTCCTTGTTGCTGTGGTTGTGCCAATCCAGTGACATCCCAGGCTGTGTGGCCTCAGAGCTCGTTTGAGGTGGGGCCATCCCGGCAGGACGGCACCGTCTGTGTCCTCCAGCCATAACCAGAACCAGCCTCCCCGAGGGTTATGGTGGCACGTGAAGTATTTCCTGTGTAATCTTTACACTTAACGTGGAGATTAATAAAACCCCTGTGAGCAAATGGCTTTGTTAAGTGGCACAAACGGAGCAGTTAATAAGAGCTCTGCCGGCTCTGCGTCGGACTCGTTTCGGGAGCCGCTCGTACGGCGGGTCTGCCTTGCACAGTTATCAGTAATGATATAATTGTTTCCTCAATGGATCTGCAGTTCCAGAGATAAAGGAATGAGCACTGAGTCTGTGGAGGGTGATGTGCATAATTTACCAGCTGCAGTTCCAGTTACTACAAGGTGTTATTTTCTGTAAGGAAAGAAAGCTCTGTTGTTCTCTCACAAACTGCAAACCACGAATTTATGTACTTAGTGGTTTGTGTATGTGAGGAGGATTGTGGCCTTTGCCCACCTCGGAATGATGGCTCGTTTTGTGTCTGCTGGATTCGGCGGGTTTGGGTGGAAGGCAGTGGCTGGATGTTTTTCAGAGAAAGCATTGATGTTTTTTCAAAGAAAGGGCTGATATTTTTCAAAGAAAGGATTGATATTTTAGCAAAGAAGGGATTAATATTTTCATCTCCTGCTTTGTGCTCTCAGCCACGTGGGTGGGGTCGGGGCTGGTTTGGTCCTGAGTCAGATGTGCCCCTGTGGCACCTGCACATCCTGTGAGCTCGGTGGCTGCTGAATGGGGGTGAGGGAGCATTGACAGGACCCCTTGCTGGCACCTGTTAGATAAAAGCTGTCACCTTCTGGTAGGTGATATTCTGTGCTGTTACTGTTGTTGCTGTTGGTTTAAGTGTTTGAAGGGGTGTTCTTGTAGTTTGACATTCCTGGCTCTCAAACACCATCAGTGATTACTTACAAAAGGTGTGTTCCTGCTGGTGTGTTTGGGAAGGTTTTCACAGAATCATGGAATGGTTTGGCTTGCGAGGAACATCAAAGACTATCTCATTCCATGCCCTGCCATGGGCAGGGACACCTTCCACTAGACCAGGTAGAATCTGGCCTTGGACACTTCCAGGGATGTGGCATCCACCAATACCCCCAAGTTCTTCTCCCCAGGGCTGCTCTCCAGCCATTCTCCTTCCAGCCTGTGCCTGTGATTGGGATTGCCCTGACCCAGCTGTAGGACCTTCATGAATTTGGCACAGCCCCACCTCTACAGGTCCCTCTGGATGTCCAGTCCCTTCCCTGGAGTGTGTGACTGCACCACCCAGCTCGGTGTCATTGGCAAACTGGCCAAAGGTGCATCAATCTCACTGTCCCTGTCACAGGCACAGATGTCAAACAGCTCCAGTCCCAGTCCCGACCCCTGAGGACACCACTCCTCACTGGGCTCCACTTGGACATCGAGCCATTGACCACAGGTCTGCATGTGGCCTTCCAGAAAATTCCCTACCCACTGAGTGGTCCACCTGTGAAATCCATGTCCAGGCTAGAAACAAGGATGTCATGTAGGACATCCTCAGTAGATTAAAACTTTGATCCTATCAGTGTCCCTTCTTTCTTTTAACCCCAAGAATCTTTGCAGAACTGAGCCAGTGTCTCTCGTAGCAATGATCAGCATTAGGATTTATATGCAAATACACACCTACACACAGGCATAGTTTTCTGGATAATTTCAGTTTAGATTTCAGACATTACAAATCTCTGAATTAAGTGGGTTTGCCTTGTGTTGAATTTGGGTTCTATTTTCTCATGTTTTTTTTAGCAGTTCTGAAATACAGGACCCAGGAACTCCGGCCTTCTGTATTTCCTGAGCACGAGCTTTGATTTGAAGCCCATTTGCATATACAAATAGTCAGGTTTGGGCTTCTCAAATTGGATTATCTTGCACTTAGCATGCATGTGCTGGGGCTCCCTGTTTGGGAAACAACAATAGCACTGCAGGACCCTCTTCATGTCCCTGAAAAGCCATCAAACCCCTCTTTATTTATGGAGTGTTCAAGCATTGCAGAGCCAAATGCTTTATTAGGTCTGGGAGTGCCTCACTTTAATCACAGTCTTCACAAAGTTTTTGTTTTGCTTATTAAGTTTATGGTTCTTTGGTGCTTTTTCTGTTATCAACCCAAATCAAGATAAAATTCAGCCCGGTTTGGGTTGGTTTAACTCTTACATTTTAGATATAAAACATGCAATGTGTTATTTATGGGCAAGGCTGGTAGTTCTGACCCTTTCATACCATTGTCCTGCCTGACCCCAGACCTCCTGGTAAATAAATGCATCTCTCCTAGTGCTTTGCAGGGTGTTGTTCGTGAGGAGCCAGGGATTTTTTGTTGATTGCAAATGAGCAGAAAAGTGAGGCTGTCCCTGGCACGCTCATACAATAACTGGAGTTTACAAATGGAAGTGACACAAGCTGTTTTTCCCCCGTTGGGTTGCAGGAGGCAGGGATATCAATATGTTTTCCTTTGCAGAGGGATAAATATGCTGTTTAAGTCAATCCGTGGCTTCACTTATTGAAGGATCGATGTTGCTGCAGGAGCTCAGCATGTGGTGGTTTGGAGCCCGTAGGATGGGGGTGGAGTGGCCAGAGGGGCATGGAGCATCACCCTGTAGGTGTGGGGGCTGGGATGGGTGGGATGAGGGGGGCTGGATGGTTGGAAGGGCAAAGTTCCTTCCAAGAAGCATCGGAAGCTCCTGTTAAAGCATGACTGGTGTCAGGCCTTGCTGATGATTGTTTCTGGTTCTCAGGACAAATTTCTTTCTGGAAAGGGTGGTCAGGCATTGGAAGGGGCTGCCCAGGCAGGTGGTGGAGTCCCCATCCTTGGAGGTGTCCAAGGAATGACTGGACGTGGCACTCAGTGCTCTGGGCTGAGTGACAAGGTGGGGATTGGCCACAGGGTGGACTCCATGGGCTGGGAGGGCTTTTCCAACCTCAGTGATTCTGGGATTCAGCAGGCAAGTCTCAACTCCTTGCCCAGGGTGTACCCTGACCTTCCAGAAACAGATTTGGGAACCCACCATTGCTAGGAAAAATATTTTCCTAGCATTTCCATATTTTCCCCCTCAAGGGTATTTTCAAGGCATTTGACGCTTGAAATTCCACCTATAAATGTGGAATGATTAATGATGATTCTAGAGAACTCTTTCAAGAACTTTTTAAAAAAATCCTGCAGCAGAATCTGGTTGGTTTCTGAGAAGAACTTCTCAGATGAAAGTCCTCAGCCCTCAAGGAGTCACGTCCTGGGCCAGCTTTGGCAAGTCCAGTGTTGTGTTAGAGCTGATAAATTGCTGACTGATTGCTGAGCTGCCTGTAAATAGGAGAGGGGCTTTGCTGACCCCACACACCACACCTGTGCCTCCTCCCCTGGATTAACAATCACAGGGATAGTCCTTTCTTCATGGAATTATTTAGCAGGAGAGAAGGAGAGAGAACTTCATCAAAGGAGGGGAAATCACCCAAACTTCTCTTTCAACTGACTGATGAAACTTTAATAAGGGGATTGATGAAAGTTTAATAAGGAAGCCCTGCTCCAGGACTGTTACTCATCGGTGCTGGCAGAAGCTCTGGCTGGCCAAGCAACCAAGGCACACATTATTTTCCTGTTTTCCTGGACTCTTTGGGGAAATTGCATCCTCTTCTCAAAAATAAAATAATCAAATGAGAAGTAAACAACCTTTCTGCTCCTGTACCCTGTCGGAAGCCAGTAGAAAAGCCATTTTTTCCAAACAACATTAGTTCTCATAGGAGCTACAGGAGATGTTTTGTGGATTTTTCCCAGTTGCAGACAGCTGGAATTAGGAATGAGCTTTGACTCTGGGAGGCCACATGTTTGACCTCACTAAATGGCTGTTCTAGTCCCCAGATGAATACAAAATAAGCTTGGATTAACACTTGGACTTGGACTCTGATTTTTATTTATTTTTATTTATTGTCTATCATGACTCTGGCAGAAAAATTTGTTTCCGTGTATCCATCACTGAATGACAAAACCTGGAGTATTTGTGGGCTTTTTGGCCTGTGTGCCTGATAATTAGTGCATTTGCAGGTGTTTTTTGGCGTTGAGGGATACAGTAAAAATAAACAACTTTTTTTTTGGTGATGATAACTGAAAATATTTAACTTCTCTTTTACTAATGCAGGGCTCAGCTGTTGACAAATAATTGTCTATGAAGGGTTAGAACAAAGCTAAGAGAGCTGAGGGTGTTCACCTGGAAAAGAGGAGGCTCCAGGGAGGCCTTAGTGCCACTTCCAGTGTCTAAAGGGGCTCCAGAGAGCTGGAGAGGGACTTTGGACAAGGGTCTGGAGGGACAGGACAAGGGAGAATGGCTTCCCACTGCCAGATGGCAGGGATGAGATGGGATATTGGGAAGCAATTCTTGGCTGTGAGGGCGGTGAGGGGCTGGAATGGATTTCCCAGAGAAATCCCCATCCCTGGCAGTGTCCAAGGCCAGGTTGGATGGGGCTTGGAGCAACCTGGGCATAGTGGAAGGTGTGGCATAGTGGAATGGGATGGGACTGGATGAGGTTTAAGGTCTCTTCCAACCCAAACCAGTCTGTGATTCCATGATTCTTGGATGTTCACTCTGCAGCAGTGATGTTGTAGGTGCTGCATCACCCCCTGAGAGTCTCCCTTCCCAAACACCAGTTCCCTGTTTTCCTCTCAGTGACACACAAGGATAAAGGCACCCCCCAGACTGACACTGTGCCTGGAGTGAGGAGTCTGATCAAATAGTGATTCTTTTTTAATTTTTTTTTTTTTTTTTTTTTTGGAGCACCACAGTTGCCTCCTGTTGCCTGAAGGATTTCCACAGGGGCTGGGAGTGTTTGCTGAATGACATAATAAGCTAATGATTGCTTAATTCTGGAATCCTTAGCTCGGTGTGGAGGGAGGAACAGCTGCTGTGTGTCAGATTAGGTTTTCTCCTTAAGATTTTTACTCCTAATGTTCTCGTTTATTTAACATATTTAGCCGAGATTGAGCTCTGAAGGTCTTCCCTGCATGTTTGTCAGACAAAGGTGAATAGGACAGAGTCTAAATGCTGCTTGAGCTTTAATTTGGGAGACTCCTTAGTTCTCATGTTAGACCATTGGTAGTTTCCTGCATGTGATGTTTCTGAGATGAAGGATATGAATGTACAACGTGTAAAACCCAGGTATTTGTGTGCAGAACAAAGCAGAGCAGCCAGGAAGGCAAGAGGAACATTGGGTTGTTAATATAGAAAGTAATAAAAAAAATCAGGTTTGAAATCAGACAGCTTATATTTAGGAAAGTTCAGAATAATTGTGTTCAATGCGCTCAAATATTTGGCTTTTTTATTGAGGTTTTTTCATTTATATTTAATAACTCTGCACAGTTTGGATATGAGTCACTGCTGCCTTGTCCCTCTGGGTTATAATGATGTTTTCACATCTATGGGGTTTTAATATCTAAAAATGCTCCAGCCACGAGCTGGGACTTCAGAATAACGATTAGAAAAGGGGCTTTGGGAGTCCTTAGGAAATACATCAGAGAGCCACAGAATAGCTGGGGTTGGAAGGAACCTCTGGGGATCACCCATCAGTCCATCCCCCTGCCCAGGCAGGGTCACCTGGAGCAGGTGATACAGGAACGTGTCCAGGTGGGGTTGGAATGTCTCCAGAGAGGGAGACTCCACACCCACCCCGGGTGACTGTTCCAGGCTCTGCCACCTCCGTGGAAGGTTCTGCTTCATGTTGAGGTGGAACTTATGTTTTGGATTATGGCCATTGCTCGTCATCCTGTCCCTGGGCACCACTGAACAGTGTGGGACCATCCTGACACCCTTTGGAGATATTTGTGTGGATTGATGGCATTCCCCCTCATCCTTCTCTTCTCTGGGCTAACCAGGCCTACCCAGCTCCTGCAGTCTCTGCTCATCAGAGAGATGCTCCAGATACCAGATCATCTCTGTGGCCTCTGGTGGATCCTCTCCAGTAGCTCCTTGGCTTTCCTGCTTCATCTCTTCTCCCAGGCAACCAGTGACAGGACAAGAGGCAATGGCCTCAAGCTTTGCCAGGGAAGGTTCACGTTGGTTATCAGGGAAAACTTCCTCACAGAAAGGGTGTTCAGGCATTGGAAGGGGCTGCCCAGGCAGGTGGTGGAGTCCCCATCCCTGGTGGTGTCCAAGGAATGACTGGATGAGGCACTCAGTGCTCTGGGCTGGGTGACAAGGTGGGGATCAGGCCCAGGTTGGACTCAATGGGCTGGGAGGGCTTTTCCATCCTCAGTGATTCTGTGATTCATGAGCTCTGGAGACCAGCACTGAACCCAATGCTGCAGATATGGCCTCACTATATAATATATACATATATTATGCATAGTATATATTCAAGCTCTAGTATCTCTGACATGCAGCGGGGGCCAGCTGGCAAGTGTGGCAGACTTTTGTTCCATCTTGTGTCAAAACTGAGGGCTGAAAACATCCTTTTACCTAAACCCACTGCTTCCTGTCCAGATAACCCTGCTGTGTCTCCCTGTCCCACAGGTGGTTGCCAGAACAGCCTGAAGGCCATGGGTGCCAACCAGACCCTGGCTCTGGCCACGGCGGCCGTGGTGTCGGTGGAGCCCGAGGCCCCCCAGCCCTGCCACCTCCTCACCTTCTCCCCACTCAAAATCCCTCTGGTGGCTTCGCCCTTCCCAGGTAAGGTCCCTCCTGGGACACTGATGAGCAGCTTTTCCTGTTTTCATGCAGCAAAGAGGCTTCTCTGTGTGTTGGGTAAACACTGAGGGGTGCAGGGGGTGTCACTGCAATCTGGGGTTGAAGGTGGATTTTCTGGGGCGGTTTGGAGGCGTCCTCTGAAATGGTGTCAGAGGTGAGTTCAGAACCCTGGGGGTGTTTGCAGTGGTCCTGTTGCTGTGGCATTTAATGGGCAGTTGATGAACTGAACTGGTTCCTCCATCTCAGTGAGTCCTGTAAGGAAACCTGGTCTGAGTTACACCAAGCCTTTGGAGCTGATCCTCAGCTTAAAGGTTGGGGTTTGAAAGGTATCTGCTCAAGGTACAATAATATTTGATTAAGACTTAAGTAGATTCCTTGGCTATTTATCATTTTAAAGCACACTGTGAGACCCAGCCTGGGTCTTTGGTTCTTTCCAGTAGGTTGAGATGTGGTTTCTGACTGAAAAAAATCACTGTTTTCTTGGCATGGTGTTGAGTAAAAATTTTCTGCATATGGCAGCTGGGGAAGCACTGGGGCATCTCTGCCTCACTGGGGCTGGCTTCAAACCTTAAGGGTAATTTTTGAGACTGTACTTTGAATGCTCAAGGCTATATTTAGAAATGTTACATGCTGATGAAGTTAAAAATGTAAATTAGGGTGTGTTTTCCATACAGTGAGATTGGATTTCACAGAAGGTGTGTGGTTATGGCTTTGGTGCTCAGATGAAATCTTTTCATGAGAAATGTATCTCAGTGATCATTGTTCCTGAATTAATTCTACTGAAGGGCAGAGAGTTGGTGGTGCTTCCCATGGAATATTGTATTTCACCCAAAGAAAACACATTGCCTGTTTATGAGTATCTTGGAGGAGAAACCAAAGGGGAAAAAAAATCATTCTTTATATAAAGAGCAGAATTACTTGTTAGATGTGTTCTTCCCTGAGTTGGGGTTCATTTTAATGCAATTTATTTTACATTTTGTAAAAGAAAATCAGAGCTATGAGAGAGTACAGGATATTTAGGGAATTTAAACCCATGTGTTGCCTTTTACTGTGAAGGATCCCAGCTGGAGATGGGGCTGAGCAGACGTGGGTGGGATGTGCTGGGTGGTGCAGGTTCTCTGTGCTTTGGCTCTGCCACGGGAGAAGCTCCTGTGATCATTTTTATTGTTGGGTATTTGTTTGTCTCTGTCCTGAGCTTGGAGAATTGTAATCATGGAAAAAATGCAGCATAAAATACTGGATTTAGTAGCAACATAAAATTTTATTTAAAATATATTTAAATTTGAGGAACCTATTTCTACACGAGTGATCTGTGATTGGACTTTCACAGAATTAAAACTCAGGTGCTGGAGCTGGAGCTGTACAGCAGCACTGAGAGGGAGAAGGGGCTTGGCACAATATTTCTGTGCTCTCTGCTGTCACATCAATGACTTACGTGGACAAGGTTCCAGCAGTGCTGTTTCAGCTCCATTTCGTAGTTTTATTCCTTTCCCCCCCTCCCCTTTTTTTTCTTTTTTTTTTTTTTTGCATCTACTCGTGGTTCTGCCCGTGCATCTACCAGGCAAAATATTCCCTTAAATATTTAATGCCAGCCTCGCTGTTAGCTTAGTTTTTGTGCCAGGTTTAATATAAAGACTAAATAGGAGCTTGTGGAGATGCAGCTCCTCACTGAGCTGCACCTTCGTGCTTGTGAGCTCCGCTGGTGGAGAGAAAACTGAATTTCCCAGCACTGCCAAGCCAAGGCTTTGAAGATGATCTTAAAGAAAACCAAATGCAAAAAACTTTGGGAACATAAGCAGTTACATGGAGTATTCAGGTGTGGGATGTCTAGTGACCTCCAATACCGCTTTTACAGCTACTCCATAAAGAACTGGGCATTTATTTTCTTTATGTGCAGTTTTTTAATTATCGGAGTGAAGAAGGTAAGAGCTGAGTCTGTGGTTATGGACTCCCTAAATTAGCAGTGAGTACAAATATTAAAAAAGGCACCATCTGCCATCTAAACCATTTGCCACCTGTTCCTGGCTTCCCGAATTATTTAAGGTTTCAATGCACTGTTTTACCCTGCCATGGAACAGCTGGGAAGTGACTCAGTATTTTTCCTCTCGGCACCTAAACGGCCAAACAACGTCGTGTGTTAGACCAGCTCTTAATGCCAGCGCTTGTCTGGGGCCTTTCATGTGTCTGTCACTCCTTCATTAGCTGGTTTAAACCACATTTTCATAAGTTATTTGGTGATTTTTTTTTAATGCTGTTTTTGGGAGGAAGCAGCTGCTCTCCCACAGCAAACACAGGTAATGGCTGTTGGAGTGGTCACAGCACTTAGTGAGGGGTCAGTGCTGGGGAAAGGTGATGTGACAGTGGAGTTACTCCTGTTATACCCTTAAGCTCAGCCTAATATCTTCATGGAATCATAGAATCACACAGAATCCAATTCCTTCTGGGCTGGAAGGGACTTTAAAGCCCATCCAGTCCCAGCCCCTGCCATGGGCAGGGACACCTTCCACTAGACCAGGTTGCTCCAAGCCCTGTCCAACCGGGCCTGGATGTTGCCAGATGATTCCTGGCCAACCTCTTCAACTCCCCAGTTCCTTACTGCTCACCTCAAAGATGAGGCTGATGAACAGTGGAACTTGATGATCTTCGAGATCTTTTCCAGCCTATACAGTTCCATGATTCTGTGATTGTGAGTGAGTGGGGTGAGAATTTCCTGTAAAATATTTGGAGCAGAAGTCTGTTGAGGAGTGGCTGAGGGAGCTGGGGGACTCAGGGGGACCTTCTCACTCTCTGCAACTCCTGACAGGAGTGGGGAGCCCAGGGGGGTCGGGCTCTGCTCCCAGGGAACAAGGGACAGGATGAGAGGAAATGGCCACAAGTCTCACCAGGGGATGTTTAGGTTGGATACTGGAGAAAATTTCTTCACTGAAAGGGCTGGCACAGCTGCCCAGGGCAGTGGTGGAGCCCCCATCCTTGGAAGTGTTCAAAAACCATGTGGATGTGGCACTTGAGAACATGATTTAGTTGTGACCATGGTGGTGGTGCTGGATTGACATTTGGACTTGATGATCTTCGAGGGCTTTGCCAACCTTAACAATTCTGTGATTCTAGGAGATAAAAATTGTCTGTAAAAAATATTTGTTTTCTGGGGAATGGAACTGAAGAAATTAGGGAGCAAGGTTGAATATCTCCAGTGCCTCCCAGTTACCTGGAGGTTTGTTCTGCTCATCTCCTTCCAGTGCCCAGCTGGTGGGGTTGGGTGTTCCAGCAGACTACAGGGCTGGGGAGAGCTGGGCTGAGGACACTTGTCCAACCTCTGTGGAAGCTACAAACCCTTTTCTTTCTTTTCTTTACAAGTTTAATTAAAAACTGTGATCCAGTGAGTAAATACTTGGAGAGCTCATGCAGTTCTGGGCACTGGGATTGTTCCTGCCTGTTCTGCCAGGTTGGGTCTCTCTGCTGGGCTCATTCCCATCATGAAGATGATTCACTCAGTGGTAATTTAAGATTAGTCCTGCATACCAGAATTCCTAGGTATTAGGTGAGCAAAAAATGACAATTTTGGAAAAATCACAAATATTCGAACCAGAAATGTGATATTCATCTCCTCAGGAAGCTTTTCCTTCCCTTTCCTGGGTGTCCCACATGTCTGGCAGTAAAATAGGCTTGACTTGGAATGCTGAATAGTTCTAACAAGCTTGTTGTAAATGATCTGCCCAGCTTTAATGCTGTGTAACGAAGCAAGATAATGAATGTTTATAGTTATTAAAGTGATAACTTCCTACTGGAGTTAATATTCAGCATAAAATTACTTTTCTGTTCCTATCTGTGTTGGCACATGCAAGGGAAGACATGATTGTACAGTGGGATAAATTAATGCCCAGAATCATTGAAATGAGCGTCAATTCCCTCCTCCTGTTGGACACGAAATCTCTGCTGGAAACTGGAAGTGCTCAGCTGCCCAGTTAAGACTCTCTAAAAAATGGGGTGATGGTTCTGATCGTGTGAAAAGTCAGCTGTTTTTTGGGTTACCAAAGAAAACTGCATGAAAAGGACAGGCAGAGTGATGGCAGGCAGAATGTTTGGATATTGCAAATTTTTACATCATCTCTATTGAATAAATGAAGTCCAGCATGGAGCGTTTATTGGTGAAAATATGTGGCTGGAACCAACTGGATTTATGGATCACGATTCACTTGGTCTGTGCAAACAGACTGGGATTCCCAAGGCATTCAGAGAATGCCTGGGGACTGGTGACAGGACTCAGGGAACATCTGGTGTTGTGTCAGGGCAGGGTTAGGTTGGATCTCAGGAAAGGTTCTTCCCCCAGAGGGTGGTTGGGCACTGAACAGGCTCCCCAGGGCAGTGGGCACAGCTCAAGGCTGCCAGAGCTCCAGGAGTGTTCAGACAACACTCTCAGGGACAGGGTGGGATTGTTGGGGTGTCCCAGTCTGGACCAGGAGTTGAACTGATGGTCCCTGTGGGTCCCTTCCCACCTGGGATATTCCAAGGTCTTATATACATATAGAAAAAAGCCTTTCTAATCCTCCTTTCCCTGGAATATCCTTGGTACGATTAACTAGAAGTAGAAGGAATGATCTTCTGGAAGAATAAAAATACCCTTGTGGAGGGAATGTGCTACTGTGGTGCTTAAGGACAGGATGTGGCACTGTGTGCTCTGGGCTGGGTGAGAAGGTGGGGGTCACTCACAGGCTGGACTTGATCTCTGAGGTCTTTTCCAGCCTCAGTGATTCTGGGATTCATCTGATTTGTTGCCAGAATCCTGTGGCTGAGATGGTACCAGTTACAGCTCTGTCCTGTCCATTTAGGCCACGTCTGTGGCCTAACAAACAGTTGCTTCCTCAGGTGTGAACCAGAAGAGCCTCGTTCAGTGTCTCCCATGTAAAAACAAGATACTGACAAAAGAAAAAATATAAATATTTCCTGTAGTAGTTACGAAAGACAAACAACCAAATCGTTTCATT